TTTCTTAGTTAAAACAGATACAAAAAATGATTATTACAAAAATTTCTTTAAAATGATTGTTCAATCAATAATCGCAAGTTTTTAAAATCAGGTAAAAAAGTTATCGGACCTAAGTAACCTCATTTTTTCAGTGGAATATCTTTTTGTAAATCATATGAAACTTTTTAAAACTTGCTTAAATAATAATAATCATTTAATGTCCTACAGAAATTGCATTCCAATTACAGGAATCACTTGTAATTTTTTAATGTCGTCCCTAGTGTGATATTTTTAGAGAATTTAATATGCTTTTTAGTTGAAAGCTAACATCGTATAATACTTGTTTTGAAAACGGCAGATTATTGAGCAAGTACTTTTGTAATAAACATTTTCCCGTGAAATTGACAATTTTTTATTTTCCTTCGTTATCTCTTAAGCAAGCGAATATTTTTAAATTTTGATAGCGCAATTTTAAGTTTGACCCAAAAAGAGCACATGACGCCTATATTAGAAACTTTTTTGATAGCACTAAAAATTACGAACATGCTCAAGTGTCGAAAAGTGGACAGTATGCATTGTAATTTATTTTTGTGAACGGCTAGACTAGAAATGTTTACACGGAGAAAAATGGATTGTTAAAATCATATAGTAAAAATTATATTGTAATCAGTACGAGAAGCTATTATTAAATCAAACAAACCTTGACACACGCTGTACAATATGAATATGTTTAATCAAAATTATGTGGCTCGCAATTTTGGTGAAGTTTATAGATGAATTCTATACCACTTATAATCATGAGCGATGTTCCAGAGATTTTGAGGGTTGGGCCAATACAATATGGCAGTATAAGTACAACAAAACTGTATTATATTGATTATTATACCTTATTGTTGCAAATATATCATGATTTTTGAACTTATAATTTTATATATTCGAAACCAATATGTGTGTATCCTGATTTTTGGTAAAAAAGGAAGGTTATACACTGCCTTTTTTTGAGCCCCGAAAAAAATTGTCTCAGATCGACCCGGAAAAAAAATTTTCTTATAGAATGTGGCCTGTAGAATCCATAATTTCAAACAGTTCCAAGATTGGGCTACTAGTTCAAAAGTTACAGCCCTTTGAATTTTCTTTCGAAATTGGTTTCTAGTCTATAACTTTTGATTGAGAAGTCTGATCGAAAAAGTACGAATTGTTTTGGATTCTACGCACCAAAATTAATAAGAAAAAGTGTTTTCCCGAGAAATTTTGGTGTAGTCGATTTTTGGTAAAAAAGGAAGGTTATACACTGCCTTTTTTTGAGCCCCGAAAAAAAAATTGTCTCAGATCGACCCGGAAAAAAATTTTCTTATAGAATGTGGCCTGTAGAATCCATAATTTCAAACAGTTCCAAGATTGGGCTACTAGTTCAAAAGTTACAGCCCTTTGAATTTTCTTTCGAAATTGGTTTCTAGTCTATAACTTTTGATTGAGAAGTCTGATCGAAAAAGTACGAATTGTTTTGGATTCTACGCACCAAAATTAATAAGAAAAAGTGTTTTCCCGAGAAATTTTGGTGCAGTCGATTTTTGGCAGGGTGTGTATATTAGTTGCAATAATCTAAGTTACTTATTAATACAAAGCGGAGATGTTAATTCAACTACTCCCGTATTACAAAAGCATGCATATGAGATAGTTGCCGTTGCATACAGTTTTTTTTGGTATGAGTTAAAACAATATATAGGAATACTAGCTATACACTTGCAACAATATGTATATGATAGATTTTATAATTCTTCATAGCCCTACACGTAGTATACTTTTTTCATAGCTATTATTATATTTTTAATTACCTTTAACATACATTTTTCTCCGTGTACAACCTTAAATATTATAATTACCTACTCCAGAATGTATACTTATGAATCTTCAAAAATAATGATTTAAATATTTTATTTAGGGTTATAATGTTATAACTTTTCTTGCTTAATATAATTTCTAAATAGTTTACTTCTTGGTATACGTGGTTTGAGAGGGACCACTCTCTATTAGATTTATTGGATCGTATAGAACTTGTTCCATTGAAACATCCTTCTTCTTAAAAATATCTGTAGATTTAGGGACGTATCCCACCAAGGCGACGCGACAGCGACAGAATGTAGCAACGATGTACAGAAAAATGACAAGAATTTAATGCAAAATTAAGTAGATGCACTGATTGTCTGTCGAGTTCCTTAGCAGCAACAAACCTTCTGATTTTTTTGGTTTCTTGCAATAAAAGGATGCACCTTAAACGGCGCTACCATTCACTGTGAAAAATATTAAAACCAAGAATAATACTCTCTTCGAAAATCAACTTTAATGGGACTTAGTTGTATCTAACCAGGGGCCTATTTAATGAGGTTTATATGTACTTAATGGAATTTATAGGTAATTGAGGAATTTAAGTGTATTAAATGGGATTTATGTTCGTATGTACCGAAAAATTTAAGCGGAGCTTAGCTTAGGCGTAGCTTAAAATCCATGGCAACCATTGTCTCAATAATCGTTGCCATGGATTTTTGAAGCCATAAGAGAACTATTTTATCAGAAATAAGTCAAATTTATGATCCATTGGGTTTGACCATTGAGTAATTAATCACTCAACGGTTTGATATGTCCTTGTACTATAATTGCTCAAATGGTAATTCAGAAACTATAGATGCTTAAATTATCATGGGACGAAGCACTTCATTCAAACGTTTAGATATGAATGGGAACGATTTCGTGATGAATTATTAATTTTTGATTCCCTCAGAATCAGGAGTTTTTCCGATTAAAATTCTTAGCCCTCCTCGGTTAAAATTATGCGGTGCACTGCTCTTAGCCGAAATCCAACAATAAGTGATAAAAAGTTTAAATGTTTAAATATGCAACATATTTATGAACTATCGTTTTAGAATGGATAAGTACGTCTTCTAATTTGTTACAAAATTTTGTGGGAAATAGAGTAGCTGAGATTCAACGATTAATTAATGTTTTGAACATTGGAAACACGTTCCATCTACGGAAAACCCTGCTGATTTTATTTCTACGGGACTTATGTCAAGTTGCTTGATAGAAAATAATATGTGGTGGTGTGGTCCTGATTGGATAAGTTGTTCTGAACAATTGCTGTCCTCTTATATTAATCCTCAACCAGTTGAATTACCAGAATTAAAAAAGATTACGGAAGTTCTTACTGTAAATAAAATTGTAAATTTCTTTCTTTTTGAAAGATTTTCATCAATTGTAAAAATGGTGAGAGTATTTGCTTGTTTACATAGTTTCATAAATAAATGCATAAAAATATATGTAAGGATTATTAATAGGTGGACTTACTTTAGTTGAAATTGAAGATGCTACAAAACACCTTATAAAAATTGTGCAATCCTTCACATTTGCAGAAAAAATCAAACAAGTTGCAATATTTATTTGATAAAATGAGTCCCTTCCTTGATGCTAATGGAATAATTAAACTTGGTGGTCGTATACAACAATCATCAATGCGTTTAATAAAAAGCATCCTATATTGTTTCCTTATAAGCATCCCTTTTAAAGGGACCCTTTACTCTGTTATTATTTCGTCAGGAACATTTACGATTGGTGCATCCAGGACCTCAATTATTGTTAGCAAATATTAGAAATAGGTAGAAATAGCACGTGAATGTGTTACATGCTCTCGATTCAATCCTATTCAGGTTATTCCAATCATGGGAGAATTGCCAAGTGCACTTGTATGTCCATATTCGTCATTTCCTACATGTGGAGTTGATTATGCAGGTCCTTTTACATTAAAAGACAGAAAGGGACGCGGATGTAAGCAATATAAATGTTATGTTTCAGTATTCGTATTGTTTTCTACAAAAGCAATACATTTTGTAGGAGCACGTACTGAACTAGTCAATTTATTAATTAAAATCAGTTATCAATTACAGAGAAAATTGTTAATGAAGGCATAGAATGGAGTTTCATGTTATTCACGAAAGTTTGGCGGTATTTGGGAAGTAGGTATAAAAAGTTTTAAACATTTACAAACAGTCCTTGAAAATGAGTTACTTACTTACGAGGAATTTCACACGGTTTTAACTCAGATAGAGGGTCGTCCTTTAACCACTTTATTTTCTAATTTTTGTGATTTACAACCTCCAACACCTTCTCATTTCCTAATTGGAAAATCAGCAGTGACTCTACCAGATCTAAATGTACAAGACATACAAATATCAAGACTTTCTAGATTTCCATACTTGCAAAAGCTAAACCAGCAATTTTGAAGTCGTTAGTCGACTGAATATATAACAGGGTTACAGTTGCGTAATAAATGGAACAAGAAAAATGAAATTTCCATTAAAATTGGTGATATGGTGGTAACCTTCTAAATGGTTTCTTGGAAGAAAGTACGAGTTGTGAGTGTTCATACTAAACGTGGTATTTTAAAAAGTGTTTAGAAATTCACGGAATTTCAACCCCGGCAGGACGTTAAATATTATGTAAAATTATATGCTTTGGTTTTTAGTATCGAATGTTTTCTAATTACTAAACAAACAGAATTAAAAAATGTTAGCTGGGTTTCATTCCCAATTTATTACCAAGGTGTTTGAGTAATTGTATTCTTAGTTTTAGTAACCTCATGTCTTGGACGTTAACTGTAATATGATTCAGTTATAATATAGAAAACGGGTAAATGAAACGAAAACAAAAACTGGATTTACATGGAATCTCCATCCTTCGGGATTTAGTCGACCGCGTGAACTGTAGGCAGCAAATATGATAACACCAAAAGCTTACCAACGATGCCGTCGCCAGCATAAAATTAATTTAAAGTTAATGAACAAGTATATGGCAGAGTGTCGCTGTCGAGTACTGAAGAGAAATTTATTGCCGCCCGTCATACTTCACGTTGAAGTAAAGTGGTAAACGAATTTCATAATAATTTATAGTTCGCGTAACTTAGTTTAAGCAATTTGGTTTAAGTAAACACGTCAGCGGAACATTTAGAGCACAAAAAGTAGGGAACTTACCGAAGCCGTCGGATAAACTGGGAAATTTTGATGTGTGTCACTTACCTGAAACAAAACAGAGCTTTAGTTAATAAATTTTGTGGTAGATCCAAAGGATGTATGGAGGTAGCACCTCCCCACATGATCACGATTAGCTGTCAGGTTACAATCAAGTAATACAATAAGTAGATATTACATTCGCACTGCTACACGGATAAAGGATTATTATCAGCTTTGCAAAATTCAATGTTTGAAGTAATATGATGAGAGCGAAAGCTTCAGACTACTCGAAATAATTGGAAAGTCAAACTTTCTCAAGAGATATACTACAGTTTAAACACCATATAAGCGAAATTGAAACTAACAAGAGTTCAAGCTGTAAATGTTTAATCAACAAAGGCAGATCGCAGGAAAATCGAGCGCTTTTCTTTGCAGAAAATTCATTACAATTTCTCAAAAGTATATGTAATTGTGCGTCTGTATTGCTATTATTAATGAAGTGGGTTCGTCACCAGCACAGTGTTCTTTGGGTTGTTTATTTTTCTGATATTAAATTTGACTCTATGAATATTTTCGGAAATTTTCAATTTGACTAAAAATTGTCAATCTTTATAAAATTTCATAATACATTTCAAACATTTTTAATCAACTCTGATATTAACAACCAAGAATGCGTTTTGGCTGTTGTTTTAAGAAATAATTCACATTGATACGAGGGGTCGATTTTACATTTCCGGACTGGGTTTTCATTTTTCATTAGTCAAAATTGCCATTTCTGGGACTCTCAGGGAATTTTGCTGATTGATTATATGATTATAATGGTAGTACGGTAACGGGAGAGTTTTAAGCAAATCTGATGCATCGCCTTAGAGATGCCATTAAAGTGAAGAGACGGGGAAAACTCAATCGACAAACAATGATGCACCAGAAGCTGCTGTAGCTGATTGTGGCTTCGAAAAAATTCGAATCATCCGTCTTATAGTCCAGATCTAGCACCCAGTTACTATTTTTTGTTTCTGAATCTCAAAAAAACACTAATTGTCCGTACTAATAGTCGTGTGTTGATCCGAGATCGAAGTAATTCTCAGATTGACAAGTGGCGTTTTCTATCGAAAACGAGAATTAATCTTCGATCTCGGATCAATACGGTCATTAGGGAGACAAAATTTAGGGGCAATGGGGAACTGTTGAGGGCCATGTTGTTGCTCTAGTCTTTTGTTTTCATACCTAGTCCGAAAATATAAAAACGACCCCTCGTATACTGATGTACTAGATGTACAAAATGCAAGCAATGATATGAGACCTTAGATTTGAAATATAAAAGTAAAAGATTACGGAGCTCCCAATTAGGGAACCACAGGGTTGATATAGCCAACATTTTTTGAACGTAGACATTTTTTCGACGTATCATTCATTTGTCTACCCTCCGTACGAGTGGTGTGTGCTAAAATTTCAAACCCCCAGTGAGAAAGACAAATAAAAAAAGTAAAGGGGAGGACATTTATGGTGGTTGTGCAGACATTTTCGTTCAAGTTGATCTGCGCATTTTAAAAGGCACCAAGTAAACAACTTTTTAGCACATTTTTCATCACGGATATAAGTAATAGTGCGTCATCTCCGAGATCCGTCTGTCTTAAGTTTGATATCTCAGCAATGAAAGTTAGTAAAAAGCCGTGGATTTTTAATTTATATAAAGAGTGTGTTTTTTCCTCTTTCACTGTGGAGATCTCAGATTTTTGCCTTGAAGTGTACAATGTACTTCATCTGACGATAATTCCATGGCCAATTGCGATTGAAACCAAATTCATTCACTTTGAAAGGGAAAATTGATCAGCATAAAATTATTCACAACTTTGCCTATTTAAGAGACGTTGGTTCTCTTACGCTTTACGAGATCCCCATAGAGAAAGTGAAAGAAACTCACCCTGTATATATTGTTGGGCTATGCCCATGTTTTATTTGGCTTCAGCACCTTTAATAACGATGGGTCCCCTGTATGTGGGAATTTAAATTTTCTTTAAGCGTTAAATATTAGTTGTCATTTGAGATTAAACACAACGTGAATCATATCATTTAAATTATAAGTTATTGTTGATTTCATTCAGAATTTTTTTAGGTGCAATTTTGTTTAAATAAGCGCCTTTTAATTTGACTATTTTATTGTCCGGATAGAATTGCGTGAAATGTTTTGTTGATAAAAGCGTTATGGATGCGTGAGCTAATTAAGTTTGTAGACAGGCGGGTTTCGCCCCAATAAGGAAACACAGATATTATATTCGACGACGCAGTAATTTTAATAAGTTGAAAAGAAAGGGAAATTGTTTTAAATTGAAGAGATGGACGTTAATTGTTGGTTGTTTGGTGGTGGAAATAGTCGTTGCCTTGTTGATGGCGGAGACTTTTGGTGTATCGCACTCAGCCGTTTTTGCTGTAAGACTTCTAGTTTTGATGATAACCAAAAGTGCTCTAAGTGATTTTCTCTAATACTTCCGTCATTCAAAGTGAATATTTCAGTCAAGTTAAACGAAAGCGTGTAGTATGCTTACGGAAAAGATATTCGGAGTGTTGTCGTTCGGGCGTTTATCGCCTATGTGAAAAATACGATACATGAGATACATCCATCCATGAAATATTTCGAAGTGCGAAAAGTGCCTTTAAATTACCGATACAGTAATTTTTCTCTCGATAGAAACAAATGCAAATGCGATAGAAAAGATCATGAAACACGACATGAAACATATAGCCAAACCGACATCATGAGAAATACTTATCAATGGAACAAAGTGAAAAAACAGTTTAGTAAATAGCGATGAGAAACATGTTGAAGGGGCGGATGAAGCCTTTTCAAAAATGAAAGAAAACGCCAGAAGTAAAAAACAACGAATAAAAGTAACAGCAAATACAACGGTTAACTTCAAAAACGCATTTCAGATTTATTGGCTCAATACTGAATGACTGAAAAGCTAATCATGTAACGTGAAATGGAAACGTTCTCATTATTAACCGAGTTATTAACGCAACCCACGAAAGTGGAGCGCTTATGTCCGTAAGTCCATCGCTCCGCGTCACAGCTCACTCCCTAGACCTCGTATGGAGTTCGGGTTCTCGCTATATTAAAAGATTCGGGATGTGCAACTATCAAAAATTAACTTTTCTGTCCGTCTGCCTATGCGAGTGGGTGGAGCTGGCAGTATCCACGTAGTGATGGTTCTGGTTTACTTCTTTTTATTAGAATCAAGTAAACTTCAAGTTCTGTACCTACTCTACATTATTGACAGGCGTCCAAACCAGAGTCTTCCGAGGGGTTTTTTAAGTGACAAAGATTTCCTTCATTCCCTAAGATTTGCCACCATTTCCCTTAATTTCCCCAACATTTCTAGCATTTCGCTTAAATTTCCTCAAATTTATACAAAATTTCTCCGAATTAACGCGAGATGAGTAACGTTACTTCCCCATCGAAACCTTGTACTCGTATTTCCTTAAAATTTCCTCTAGATTTCCTCGGAATTTCGTCTTATTTCCTCAAAATATCCTAATATTTCACTAGAATATCCTCATTCTTTTGAAATTTCCTTCTATTTCCTTGAAAGTTTCTATATGAGGGACAAGAATTTCCCTCGTGATCAACCCCTCGGAGTCTTCTTTATGAAACTCTTATCTTTAAAAAATACTTTGTTCTTCTAATACACTTCGTGATACTATTCCCACAAAATTGGGATTGCACTTCCAAGACACTTTCATTAGATCTGAAGTGCACTTCATTCTACTCCACCTGCATATACGTACAGGATGTCTTTAAACATTTTTAATGAACCATATTTATCCTATTAGAGATATCAAGAAATACAATCGTTTCGGTAGAAAAGGAAGGAAACTCGCAAGTATACTATTAGCTGTTACCTCCCACTTCAAAATTTCAAATTGTAAAGAAATCCACGTAGAGCTATATAACGCGAGTACGCGTTTTATGCTGCTCACTCTCGGTGGATTAACCCCCTAAACCCAAATTTGAATGAACTTCTTCCCTACGTCATGATTTGCTTGCCAAATCACGAGTAAATGTAAGAAAGCCATTAGGTATTTTACATAAATTACACATTTTTTTGAAATGAATTATGAACGTCTCATTCAAATGTGTCTTGTATGCTTTATGGTATATCAATGTAAAGGACCAATGATGATGAGATACGGGGTGGTACAGATTCCAGTACAGATTGGTTTCTCCTGCATTCTACCCGGTTTTAAGTATATTTTGGTATCTATAATTAAAAAAGATATAGTCCTCTGACATGATAAAATCAACACTGGTATATACAGCTCCGTGAGACTAGACCAAGGAGGCAATTTTGGAAAAGTATATGGATCTCGGTATGGATCTTTAATTTGTACAAATTATTGAATCGCTTCGATTCGCATGTTCACTATGGAATGAATATTTTGCGGTTTTCAGTTGTTTCCTCGGGTTTTTCAGTAACTTTTAATAGGGCCCGAATATTCACATTTTCTAAATGGAATCAGCACACAAAACTGCAAAATGTACCCGACTCTTATCTTCAAAAACAGATGTATTTGCCCTGTATATTGTAGAAATTCAAAATGTTCTCTCCACTAATTACCGACAAATTCCTGTGAAAAGCATACACTTTATGAATACTTTGTTGCATCCCAATTTTTGACGTGCAGGTTTCCTCATCGACATGTTTATACCACGAGGAGCAACAAAATATGATTTTTAAGGGAATTGAACCAAGTTAAACTTTCATTTCCTTTATTACACCCTATGGAAAATCTGGTACATTGCGAAAAATTGTTGGTAATAAAGATATTATAAAAAGTAATCGATTCCGTATGCACGATATAGTCTGATACCTTGACGAATCTATATTTAACGTGGAAAAATGCGATTGATCGACCCATAAATTTAACATTTTACGAGTACTCAATTTAATAAATCACACTTCTGAAAATACGCGGAACGAAAATTTCAGTCGAACTAATTTACTAATAGCCCAACGTTTATTTTCTTAATGCGTAAGTAAATTTTCCAAAATTTTAGTTGAGAAGAA